AAAAAGAAAGCAGCTAAAATCAGAGTAAGTGTATAATTAAGACACCTCCCATCTCCATGGATTAAACTCAAATGGGTTCTCATAGTTTGTAGGATCATAATGAACCGCTGAAGGTGCAACTGCCACAATCCAACCAGCCGGAATTGTATATCCTGCCCAGAATTAAAGCTTCTTCTAGTGATTCAGATAATATTTTTTTTTACATATATAACTTTCCAAGTAGTACTTGCCTTTGATCTCAACATCGTGCAGTGCCTTTCGAAACAATAAAGGGGTCGTGTTTGACAGGCGAAGCGACTCATTGATAACCTACAGGTTAAAGTCATATCTTCCACTCGTAAATATCTCATTATCCAGGGTAAATCAGAAAGATACACACAAATATGTATACATGTAGATGGGGTATTTACCATGTTTGTGAAAGTCATGTTGTGTGTGTATTCTTCCCAGCTAACTCCAGCTTTCTTATCTTTTCTGTTGTCTACAATTGCCTTATGCTCACGCTGTGCCACATTATATATATATATATATGACTCTATCAAATCCATCCACACTCTTGTTCTTAAAGACGATAGCCATATATACTTGTTAGTTGTTTCTTATATATTACCTTGAGCTCTGCAAGCACTTTCGGGTCTTTGGATATGAATTTCACGGCCAAAGCAGTACAACTGGAGGTACCTTCTCTCGCGACGAATGCCAGAAGGAAGATGAGGTTTGTAGCGGATCCTTGGTCGAAAATGCTACTTTCTTTGTCCAGTTCTTCTAGCAACGTGTTGAGTAAGTCTTCTTGCTTCTCTCGTGACTCTCTTCTCATACTGAGAACGTCTTTCATCACCTGAATCGCTTCTCCGCGTGACTGAATACACCAAGCAATTAGTAGAGAAAACATGTACTATTTATAATTACTAATATAGAAATTACCAAAAAAACTAAAAAGGAAATGTTTTAAGTCACCTTGAGGACTTTGATGAGAGCTTTCCAAGAAGAGAGACTAAAGAAGGACTGAAACCAATCAAGATTGAAGGCGTTGAGATTATCTATAAGCTTTGATTGCGTCTCTGGTTTAAGGTTACTTATCAGCTTTGGTGTCATGTACGCCACAATCAACTGGAATTAAGGAAGAGTTTAATTATTGGTCGAAAAACCGGAAACGCAAAGTATGAAGACCTTTTCACATTTTGGCTTTCCACTAAGTTTTAAATTGTAAACTCAATGTCAAAAAACCTCTAAAAGGATGCACTTGATGTAACACCGGTTTTTTGGTGAATAAATTTTACATTCATTCAAAAAAAAAAAAAAAAAAAAAAAAAAAAAATTATTGGTACGAGCTGAAATTGGTAAAGAGAACAAATGGAGATGTGTACACTTACGTTTTCAACTTCTTTACGAACATTGAAGCTCCCCTGGCTAGCCTTCAATCTAAAATGGTCGCGGGTAGCTTTGTCCATGTTTCCTATCATTGTTTGCTTCAAACCCTCGGAGCCAATAATTTGCATAGTGACTTTGTGGAGGTACTTGTGGATGAACACTTCCTTCAAGAACAAATTATCTTTTCCAAATACTTTCACAAGTATGTCCGGATAGCCTAGCCCAAAAGACGTGTTCTCTTGCCGGAAAATCTGGTTGATTACATCTGGATCCGCCGAAACCACGGTTTTGGAACCGAAAATGTTTGTCCGAAACAACAGTCCATACCTGGAAGGGATTCATACAAACACAAAGCTTACCATATACATACCATATAACAGCTCTTCTACATATAATTGAAATCTAACCTTATCATCCTCTTCTTTACAAAGGTTGGGATATCGTTGAATCCACAAGGCTTTAAGAAATCAATAGTCTCTCCAATGATTGGAAACCCATAGCTCCCGGTGGTAACTTGCCATTACACTTAGGGTTTGACCATCGGTAAAGCCAGTGGCTGATCCTCACAACCACTAAGGCTAATATCAACATTGCAACGTTCCATATGGAGCTCATCGTGCTGCCTCTCAAGTGTTGACCACAGCGACAACTCTTATCAAGGTTAATTGAAGACATTAATATCTGTGGATGTTGTAGTGTCGTAGAGATGAAGTACTAATTAAATTTCCAGTCACGTTTTAGTTGTTGCAGTAGATATAGCAAGTTCTAGAATAATAAGCAACTCGAGGAATACATTAATAAATAGATTTTTCTCTTGCACCATGCCTGAAGCTATATCTCACTATATATTTTTTCTGTTCTTTAGTATACTTGTCCGGGTCAGATTTGTGAGATTTTCCGGGTGTGGCCAGTCTAGGGAGTGTGAATATTAAAATGATGAAAAGTTGGAAACCATAAGAAAATTAAAGTAAAAAAATTAAACACTGATTCACCAATTCTCTTACTTTTTTCTAATCCATCACACACTGACACACATGCATAATTTTTAAAAGCTAAACTGATGAAAAGTTGGAAACCAACCACTTGTGTAAGAGATAGATAAAATGTACAAAAGAAAACAAGATTCAGTAATGCAAAAAAATTCACCATCCCCATTATTGCATTATATATCAAAGTACTATAAGTCCCTGTGTGGTTATAAATCACCATCCCCAAGCAACCGCATGTGACAAAAACAAAAAGCAGAACATAAGCTGTTTGACAGTCACGCACCCAATATCTTTAATCTCCCTGAACATTGATGAGACATTTTTATGTGAACTTTTTTTTTTTTTTTAGATTTTCACTCAAATATATATACTTCCTATGTCATAAATTATAGGATGTTTTATCTATACGCACACTAATTAAAGAATTTGTTTTAACAATTTTATTTATTAAATAAGGATATTACAAACAAGCAAAAAAGAAGAAGAAAAAGAATAACAATGTAAAGAATAACTCCTTTTTTTTTAGTGTGGGGGGGGGGGGGGGGGTTTACTAACTGGCTAAGCTTGAAATTGTTTTTTCTTTTCCATTTGTTGATGGACTTTTTTTGTTTTTTATGTTTTGTCTCAACGCAAAATTAAATACAGGGAATACTTAGTGCTATTGCCGGATGGTTTACATGCCCATGTCGTATATAATGAAACCTCCATCTCCAAACTAACGGATAACGATTTATACATAACGGATACTGACATAACTTAAGCACATGTCATTCATTTGTGTATAAGAGTGAAAAGTTGTATAAAATTGAAGTGAGTGCAACAAGTTTCTTCATATATATGCATCTTGCATTCAAAAACTAATTAATCACGGGTTAATTTTGGTATCACAATAATTGACCAGTCTATGGATCATTCTCCAGCACATACATATATAATTATAAAAAGTTAAAATAATGAAAAGTTGGAAACCATACAATTGTGTAAGAGATAGACAAAACATTCAAAGAAAACGTGATTGTTTCAGTAATACATCAACAGAAAAAAATACATATCATATATCAAAGTCAATAAGTCACTGTGTGGTCATATCGAGCCAAGCAATTGCATGTGACGAATTAAACAAGTCCAGGACAGAAGCGGTCTCAATGTCTTCAATTCTCTTGAATATCTTTCTTTTTTTTGGTGCAAAATATATCTTTTTTTTTTTTTTCGCTGAAAATGGATTATATTGATATTGGAATTGATACAGGACCTTTACAAAAGAACAACTTGTAACATTAGAAAGGTAAACACATATACCTTTTCACAAAAAATGATTCTGCAGATTGATCAAACTAGAGAAAATGACAATACTCCACTTCTTTCTTCCTCAAAGAGATGATGAAGCCAACGAGGACGCCCAGAAGCAAAAAATATCTTCTTATATTAATGATATATTTTTATGTGAACTTTTGATGGGAAATAATCCACGTTTAAAAAATCGATAGGCGCTAGTCGGGCGTTCGAGGTAGGCCTAGCGCCTAGCGGAATATCGGAGATTAATCGGGATTAGTTTTTAATCAATATTCTATATATTTTTAAAATATTTCTAATACAATTTAAATACTAAGATATTTTAAACTTTTATCAATAATTTTGCAAAATTACTTCAAAAATACTTGTGTTCTAAAAATCAAAATCAACGATATATATAGTTATCTAAAGCAAAATTCTCTTTAGAAACAGTAAAACAGACAAATTCTAAGCAAACCCACCACACAAGCGTTTTTCACATTCCTAATTGGCAAACAAAGTATAAAATCTAAAAAGAAGAACGAAGATGCACCAGAGAGAAAGTTGCAGAATTGTGTAGTGTTGATGTTGAGATTTTAGAGATAAAAGTGGCTCGAAATCAAATCAAATTTTGTTTGGGTTAGAACTAATTTTTGAGAGACGAAATTATGAGATGTGAGCAAAGTTGATTAGGTTTCTTCCATTCTTTTAAAAATAAAACTTGTTTAGGTTTCGTTAATTTTGTCTTGGTTTCACAGTAATGCACGAGTTGAGAGAAGAAGAAAACGTGGAGAGAAGAAGGAAGCTCTCAATGCTTTGAAGGTACATGAGCGCAAAGCTCTCTTTCCTCTAGGATTTGTATGTCTTAGTGTAATCATGAATATTTAAGTTTTCAATATTTAAAAAAATTCTTCGTCATGAAAACTTACGTATTTGGAACCACATGAGCCTTTTAATTACTGGCCCTCTTGGTAAAACTGATCTCATCACATGTTTATAAGTTTTCAATTAACCCGAAAAGAAAAACTATATGACTTATCATCCTCCCAGTTTGTAATGCAAATGGTTTTGACCGATAGATGATATATTAAAAAAATTTCGACTTTTACGATTCATATATTCCCATATTTGCACCAATATATAATTAAATATAAAAGGAATAAGCAACAAACTTGTTATAAAAATTGATTAATTTATCTTATAAGTGGAATGAAAAATATTAATATAATTAAAAGATCTCTTCTTCTTTCTTTTTTTTGTAGGAATTAAAATATCTCTTAAAAAGAAAGCGAAAATCCTTATTGGTCAGCACATTTTCAACGTGGCCACCAATGTGGATCATAAATAAATGCTTTGCTAAAAATAAAATGATCAAAAGCTTTAAAGCGTTTTATAAAAAGATGTTTAAAGACTCACACACACATTCCTCTGAGTCTGAGGCAGGAAATTAGAAGATTATTGTTACGTTACATAATATTATGATCTGATTATTTAATATTTTGAAAACTATAGTCCTCACTTGGAAGACTCTGAGATGTTTAAAAGGAGGCCTTTGGTAAAGTGAAGGAATGGTGTTCGTATCAACTCGCAATCTTGGACCAACGAGAAATCGTAAGTGGTGACAAGATGATGCAGGAATAATGCGATGTGAAGTCTTGCAAACTCTGCGCCTACACACAATCTCACTCCACCTCCAAACACCATAAATGTTTTAGATCCCCAAATCATTTCTTTTCCCTACCAACGAACGAAAATTCTATTAATTACAGAAGTGGAGACCAAAGGGGGTTGAAAATAGAGAGTAAGTACAAACCTCCCATCTCCATGGATTAAACTCCAAAGGGTTCTCATATGTTGCTTCATCAAAATGAACCATTGCAGGCACAACCGCCACTATCCAGCCCGCTGGAATTGTGTATCCTGTTTACTAATGTTCCCCAAAGTTTAGTAGTTTAAAGTAAATATACGTAGATGTACACTGCAACATGACTAATATTCTTGCCTTTGATCTCGACATCCCTCAACGCTTTTCTAAACATCACAGGACTCAAGTTTGCCAGCCGAAGTGACTCACTGATAACCTACAATGTGTAATCTAGTTTAGCTTGGATCATTTAAATTATGTGTAAATCACTTTAAAAACCAAAAAAAAGAAAATATTTGTAAATGACCGTAACTTTTGTTTTTAGTTTGCTATTTATTACCATGTTAGTGAAACTCATACTGTGTCTGTATTCCTCCCAACTAACTCCACCTTTATCTTTTCTGTTCCGTAGGATCGCCATGTGCTCTCTCTAAACCACATTATAAGCGAGAACTTTGTTATAGACCAATTATTCGATCTATATACTTCTTAATGATAACTAATCCATATGATATAGATTACCTTCAGCTCTGCAAGGGCTTTTGGGTTTTGAGATAAGAATTTCACAGCTATGGAAGTGATATTAGGAACACCTTCTTTAGCCACGACTAGTATACTGAAAATGAGGCTTATAGCCGATCCTTGGTCAAAAATAGTGTTTTCTTTCTCCAAATCTTCCAGCATCGTGTCTACAAAGTCTCCATGCTTCTCTTTCGACTCTTTCCTCCTCGTTAGAACATCCTTTATCACATCGATTGCTTCTCTGCGTGCCTGGATAAGTGTCAAACTTCACGATTTGTATTTTATATATATAACATGATATTGATAATTTGATATAAGAAGAAGAAAAAATGTTGGTCACCTTAAGGACTTTGTAAAAAAGCTTCCACGTAGAAAGGGCAAGAGGTGACTGAAACCAATCATAATTGAAGGACTTGATATTATCCATAAGCTTCGTTTGAGTCTCTGGATTGAGGTTACTTATCACCATTGATGTCATTGACGCCACTACCATCTGCAAAGGAAGAGTTTATTTCGAGCAGAACTGAAATTGGTCAAAGATAGATTACAAGTTGTTTAACGTACGTTTAAAACTGTGTCTTTAACGTCAAATCTGCTCTCACTAGCCTTCAATCTAAGATGGTTGCGGATCTCTTGGTCCATGTTTCTTATCATCTTTTGCTTCAAACGGG